GACATTGCTTAATAGAATGGGATTAAATACATAAAGGATATTTGTGTTGTTTAACATTTAATTATTGCAGGTTTGCGTCATATTCTGAGTTGCATTGTTTTTATTCATTTTGAGGAATACTGAATCTGTGAGTGAGATGAGAATATGCATATTCATATTTATTTTGAACTACAGTAACATCTGATTTCTCTCAACATGGCAACACCAGAGCTGTCAATCAATAAATTGAAAAAAAAACAAAAAAAGTAACTTGCGTTACTTATTTGAAAAACTTTACTTTTAATATATTACCCCCAACACTGGTTATTACACATATTATTGCATTATTGTAAATAATTTATACTTCACCTTAGTGTTATACTGCCTTTAATCTACGCTGAGTTAAATAAAAGGGACTTTATTCATTTTTTGAGCAATGTAACAACAAAAAGAAGAAGAAAAAGCACTCTAAAGTAACACTAGGACACTGTTATCTAAAATGACGTACATCAAGTAGAATTATATAGCATTTTGTAATCCAATAATTGGATAATGAGTTAGTGAAAAAATAAACTGCACTACAAATAATTTCATAAATTAACTAGGAACACCACCAGGGTTATTACCGCTAACTAAAACTAAAAACATACAAATTAATAATAAAATAAAATATATATCATTTATGTTATTTCTGCTAGCTGCCAAGGCAACGTTTCTCATGTTCGTTTATTTGAAGTACTAAAATAACTAAAAATAAAAATGCAAACGTAAACATAGACAATAATAATAATGACAAGGCAACAAAATTACTAAAACTTTAATTAAAATTAAAAGCAAAAAATGATGATATAGCAGCGATACTAAAATAACATGGAACGCCACTGTAATTATTAAGTAAAAATGTTTTAACCATTAAAATAGTAAGAATAATAATAAAGTGGAGGAAGCTTGTTTTTGTGAGATTTACCCTAAAAAGTGTCAGCATTTCCCCCAGTACTTGTCTTTATGCTGTCTGCATTTGTGTCTTTGTAATTGCAGAGCAGATCCAGAAGGTAAATCGAGCCGAAATCAATCAAGCAGATGTGCAGCCTGTTGGTAAGCCATTATGTCATCTGCCCAGTGTGTTGAGTTTGCATTGTTATTACTGTAAACATACATGTGACACCTCATATCACACACGAGATTTATAGGATCATTATTTGGCAGGATTATGTTTTCAGTGTGACGGTTCATTTGCATTAGGCCCATGTGAATGCTTTTAACAGACATTAGTTTCTATATATAATCGTCATTTATGTGTCTTATTTGAATTAGGTGTGAAGATCTGGTCTGATCCCTTCAAGCCAAAATGAGTCCAGTGTGCGGATGAAAATTGAGTGAATGAACACAAGGACTGATGTGTCACGCACTGAGGATTGAGTATGTGAGACAGACACATTAACTCTTTGCTACCATGCATCAAATGAGACTTTTAGGATGTATGAATCTTATGTGTTTGTATATTTTGTGTGGGAATATGATTGAAACTAGAAAGAACGAATACCTAAAAATAGTTCAAATAAAATAAAAATGGAAACTTTGTTGCTTTTGTTCGTCAGCACTTCAAAATGTTATGTCATGTTATCACTTTGAATAGTTGTGTTAATTTATGCTGGTGTATTAATGGAGTAACATATTCAGCTGTTTGTATTCTGAATAAAAATAGACATCTTGAACTGTTTTACAAATATATGACCACTAGATGGCGGTCACTTCATTTTGTACATTACTAGATCCTGTGGGAAGAAGTCGGACCTTCAGTTATTCATTCACGAATACAACAGCAGGATCTTAACTTTGCATAGTTCATCATGCTTTATATTTATAATCAAATTGCTTACAAATGTGACCCTGGACCACAAAACCAGTCATAAGGGTCAATCTTCACGAAACTTTATACTATCATCTGAAAGCTGAATAAATAAGCTTTCCATTGATGTATGGTTTGTTAGGATAGGACAATATTTCGAGATACAACTATTTGAAAATCTGGAATCTGAGGGTGCAAAAAAAATCTAAATATTGAGAAAATCGCCTTTAAAATTGTCCAAATGAAGTTCTTAGCAATGCATATTACTAAACAAAAATTAAGTTTTAATATATTTACAGTAGGAAATTTACAAAATATTTACTTAATATCCTAATGATTTTTGGCATAAAAGAAAAATCAATAATTTTAACCCATACAATGTATTTTTGGCTATTGCTACAAATATACCCCCGCGACTTATGACTGCTTTTGTGCTTCAGGGTCACATATGTGAGAAACCTATATTGAAAACCTCAAATCTGACACTACAGATTTGTTTCATTGTTATTTTCACACTGGAGACCTTTGTGTTAATACATTTACACTCTATAATAACATCACTTCCACTCAACTGTGCTTTTGTAATATTTTTGTTGCTTTTGTTCCTGATTAGATTTCTTGTGTTATTTTGGCACTGAGAGTTGGAAGAGTCCTCTGGCCCTCAAAAGTTGCAAAATCTGTAACCTGAGAGCATACACCTCGGCCAGGACCCTGTGCCAACCATGACCTGTTGTCATGGCAACAACACTGGGCCAGCACCTGTGCATTGGGGAGGCCCAAGGCCCTGCCCCTTTTTACTCAACCGCTTTGTGTGTGAGGGTCCAAAGAACAATGTTGCAAATGCTAACACATTAAGTATGACACCATGCTGAGCTTTACCATGTACTTTTATCTATCTATCTATCCATCTATCTATAAATAAAGGTTCTTTATAAAATTGTTCTTCACTAAAAAAATGATTCTTTGGTCACACTTTATTTTAAGATCCAATTCTCACTATTAGCAAACCATTAACTACGACTCAATAATCTCCTAATTTGTTGCTTATTAATAGTAAGTAGTTGTTAAATTTAGGTATTGGGTAGGATGTAGAATATGGTCATATGTGCTTTAAGTCCTAAACAGCCAACATGTTTATAATAGACATGTGAGAATTGTTCCCTAAACTAAAGTGATACCTATTCTTTTAAGAACTGTTCACTGGAAGGTTGTTTGGGGAAACCATAGTTCTTCTATGGCCTTGCTACAAAACCACTTTTTGGAAGTGTATTGTATAAGCTAATTGAATATTAAGTACACAAACTTTGCTTTCTGATGGTTTTCTATTAACCATGTATTAGTAAATAGCCTAACTGTGAACTGTTGAGTTATTTGAGGTGCTTTTTCAATGGCATTGTGCCTGTTAAAATGAACGCATGTGAGAAAGGAACAGAGAGGGGGTTTACTAGAGGATGCAGAGTCCTCTGTCCCGCGAGACCTGCCACATATCCAAGAACTGACATAATATCTCCTCACTACCACAAAGAGCACATTGCTAACCCTCAGCCGAGAGCCTGCCAGCGCAGCAGCTGCCAAACGCAATAACACTTCACCCCCCCCACACACCCCCCGTCAACTCAACCAACTCCATTGTTTATGGGATGTTGTTATTGTTGGTCACCATTCAAAAAAACAAAAGAAAAACTTAAGGGCCCCGGCCATGAGGACGACCCGAAGCGAAGAGAGGAAAACAGGGACTGAGAAAAGCACAAAATTCCTGTCATTCCTCCTAGTGTTTTCCAGATTCCTGAAACGATGACAAGGCCTTGGATGGGGGTGGAGGCCGCCACAATGGGGAAATGTCAAAAAAAAAAAAACGTGCTGGAGCAACCCAAGCAGCATTCCTGAAGTTACCCGACAGGCCTCTAAACACGAAGCGTTAAGATCGATGGAATCCTTCACCTCAGGCTGTGTGTGGAAAACCGTTTCTGAGCGCGCTCGTGGGCTTTCATCCTCCTAAGAGTCTGGCTTTTTATCTGGTTTAGTTGTGAAAGAGTTAAAAACTCACAGCAGGGAGTCAGATGGCTGTTTCATAAGTCACTGTCTCTGTTAAGGCTCTATTATACAGCTGTCCACAGATTGCGCTGCTGATATGAACTCAAGAGACGAACTTGAAGCCTTTTCTTTTCTGGTTGTCAGAGTTTTTTAACAGCAATGGGACGGGAACCGATGCTGTAGCCAAAGCTATTGGGAAATGGCAGAAATGATTTCCATTGGGAAAAATAAGTGCACAGACTCCAGACAAAACCAAAATTGGACATGGATAGAGTAGATATGTAGGGTTGGTGTTTGTATTTGGAAGTATTCCATTAAAGGGTTAGTTCACCCAAAAAATAAAATTCTGTCATTAATTACTCACCCTCATGTCGTTTCAAACCCGTAAGACCTTCGTTCATCTTCGGAACACAAATTCAGATATTTTTGATGGAATCTGAGAGCTGTCTGACCCTCCCATAGACAGCAATGCAACTGAAATGTTCCCAAGTCCAGAGACGTAGCAAGGAGATCTGTAAAATAATCCATGTGACATCAGGGGTTCATCCGCAATTATACGAAGCTACGAGAATACTTTTTGTGCGCAAAAGAAAAAAAATAACGACTTTATTCAACAATTCGTCTTCTCCGCATGCGGAGGAGACAAATTGTTGAATAAAGTCGTTATTTTTTTTCTAATCTAACACTAATATAAATATATACTTATATTAATATAGACCAAATATACTTAGATTTTTGTTATTAGTCATAAGCCAAGTGTACTTTAAGTATAAATTTAAATATATCTTTAATAAGCACTATACTGAAAGTATAATCAGTATATCAATATTGTTTTCAGTTTAGAAGTATACTAACAGCACTCTTGAATAAACTTTTATTGTGTTTAGTGGAAAACAATGTTGTTTGGAAACTGAAAGAAATTTTTTCCTATTAGTTGCATGCCATGTTTTTACTGTTGGAGTGTCAACAGCTGTAGTAAATCAAACGGAATCACTCTTCGATTCAGTTTCAACCAGAGGCGGACAAAGTACTCAACTCCATTACTTGAGTGAAAGTACAGATACTGCTGGTCAAATATTACTCCATTATAAGTAAAAGTTGTAAAGACAGATTTTTACTTGAGTAAAAGTACAGAAGTACTTGCTTTTAAAAGTACTTAAGTACCAAAAGTACATTTCCTTTTTTATGTCAATGCACTGTTTTATTGTCGTACATAATACTTGCAATACTTCTGAAGCAACTTAACGACTTTCTACTTCGAGGACCTTGATAGAAATGTATTGGAGTGAAAAGTACAATAGTTGTCTTTCAAATGTAGTGAAGTTAAAGTTATAAGTTCCCAGAAAAAATAATACTCAAGTGAAGTACCGATACTCAGAAAGTGTACTTAAGTACAATACTCAAGTAAATGTACTTAGTTACTGTCCGCCTCTGGTTTCAACTATGTCATTAATCTATTTATACATACATCTTTTAATTACATACTCATGAGGGACTTTTGTTTTCCACACATTTGCATGTGCTCACAGTCCTTCTGTCTTCTCGAGTAGACCTGTGTACTCAACAAGCTGTTAAAGACACACTGTATTAGAGACTGTACGAATGCGTTGGTTGCTGTTACGGTACTAAATCACCTTAGAGTGTCAGTTACTACAAGGGATGTCCAGGGACCCAGAGAGTAATGAAACAGACAGTTGTATCTCAGTTTTATCGATTTACTCTGTTTGATGCGGAGTATCAAGAAATCCACTCCATATACTCACATACTCACGCAGTCTCTGAATAAACCACGCCTACTCAATGAAATTAAATGACCAATCTGACCGCTGTACAGCCCTTTTAATACAAAGAACACAAACTGAACATGGGCTTTTTTACACACACACACTAACCAAAGTACGACTCACATTCTTCGTCCCCACTGATGTGACTCTCAAAACAACATAATTGCACCGATTGTTTCATTCATGAGTGACCAGAACAGAAAGCACAAGTATTTGGAAAAGTCTGGAGAAATTAGCTTTGGGAGGCCTTGCTAGCCCGGATGGCACAGGAGGATCTTCAGCATGAGGAACACAAGTGTGACTCCTTAATGAAAAGCTAATGGTGTGTGTGTGTGTGTGTGTGTGTGCGTGTGTGTGTGCGTGCGTGTGTGTGTGTGTGTGTGTGCGTGTGTGTGTTAAGAGCTGTTTACCACCTGTGCTGAACGACAAAGCAAAGCTGCAGTTGGAAGGATATGGCATCTTTTTTTTCTTGGAGAAATAACATTACTTGTCTTTCTCACCAGTGGATCCTCTGCGGTGAATGGGTGCCGTCAGAATGAGAGTTCAAACAGCTGATAAAAACATCACAATAATCCACTAGCAATCAACATGACTCCAGTCCAGTCTATCAATGAATGTCCTTCAGGAATTTGTTCCTATACTTAATTAGTTCCTGCGTATTAGTTCAATCGTGGCCATGGTTTAACTAAAAATAAAACAAATTAGTAAAATGTGGCCACTAATTAATAAGTTAAAATTCTTAATTCATTGCCACAATCAGGCCTGTGATTACCTGCGGCTTACTGCTTTTATCATATTACTTGAGAGATCGTAAATTGGAACATGTCCATTCAAACGATCAGTAGTCTTATAAAGAAATGTTTGGCTTGACTGCAACTCCTGTAACCTGGCTGTCAGTTAAATAGGACAATATGAATTTAATACGGCCCTTTAGATTTGTATCAGTGGGGTAATAAACTGTGAGGTGCTGTTGCCTAAGGTTACATTTCCTTTCATCCTGGCTCAAGGTGCTCCTTGTAAGCAAACTTCCATTAATAGCTGACCGTTTTAGCTTTAAAAACACTTCAAAACCATATCAAAGAGCAATTCCACAATGAATTTGTCCTTAAAGACTTTCATTCAGAATTCCTGGCTTGGATTTGACAGAATTGGCCTCCAAAGCTAAATAACAACAAACAGGCAATATATCACATGTCTAGGTGAAAATCTGTATGTTTGACATGGAAGAAAA